CATGTTAACAGGGACGGGGGAAGGGTACTCCACTGGCGTCCAACAGGCCGCAATACCTGGTCCGTACCGTGACCAGGTGAGGCAGGCAGGACTTGCCGCATGGTACAAACTGGATGATGGGCCTACTGAGTCCCCATAGCAGGAGTGAGACAAAAACCGGGTGAACCTCTAGCTGAGTTTATAGACCGAGTCCAACAGAGCGTTCACCGCAAGCTGCCAGCAGGGAACCTCTGAGATCAGTTTGTAAAGCTGCTGGTCTGGGAAGGGATGAATGCAGACCACCGCATGGCCTGCACAGGAGTGAGAGAGTTCCCTGAGCAGATGGGTGGTGCCCTCGCAGGATGTGGGAACGCAACAGCACCAATCCCAATCACTAGCTTTAGCTTTACAGGCTCAGACGTCTGCAATGACTGAGGCTATTACCCAAGCGCTGGCAGCCCAGGGCCGAGGAACCCCAAGACCATAGGGGAGAGGGACTTGTTTTAAATGCAGGCAGGAGCGGCACTTTAAGAGGGACTGTTTACAACAATCCCCCACCAACCGGCCAGGGGGGGCCAAACTGCCCCCTACACCCTGCTCCAGGTGCAGGAAGGGATACCATTGGAAAAAGGATTGTAGATCCAAGTTTGATTTAGATGGGAAGCCTATAAACTAGGGGAGGGGCATCCTCCAGCCCCATTAACTCAAGGAGGAATCTCATCTGCTGTGAGGCCCAGGCAGAGTCTCGTGGCAGGACGACCCAGGCCCATTGGACCGTCACCCTGGTGGAAGGACTCTGCCCTAAAATGAGTATTCTCATAGGTGGAAAGAGGTTTCACTGCTTAATTGACATGGGGGCAGATCAAACCATACTCAGGGAGGAGGAAGTGCCCTTGGACTGGAAGCTTGCACCTGGGCCCCCCGATATTGGGGGTAGGGGACAACTCCCAGTCCAAAGAGATGATTGCCCTTATGAAATGGACTAGCCCAGATGGAGAACAGGGAAAGAAACGCCCTTTAGTGGCAAAGAACCTCACTGCCAATTTACTAGGGCAAGACATGCTAAGACAAATGGATGCCGTGGTCACTACAGACCATTGAGCATCCTATGATGATATCCTGGATGGGGGAGAAGCACAAAGGCTTAAACAGGATCTAGAGGGAGTTAAGGAAAAGGATTTTTTTAACTTTCATAATTACAGAGAAGAACATAAAGGGACCCACCTGGGTGCACCCCCAATCCTAAAGGCCACTGTCCCCCCAGTACCTCCCATTAGGTGGAAGCCCAATCTGGGTGGAGCAGTGGCCATTGACCAAACCTAAACTTGTAGCCCTCCACCTTCTGGTGGAGGAACAGATAAACCTTGGTCATATACACCCTTCTTGAGTCCTTGGAACACATCCATATTTGTTATTCAAAAAACCTCCGGGGCTTGGCTTGGCGTATGCTCTAGGATCTACGTAAGGTAAATGAAAGGATGGAGCTAGTAGGAACACCCCTAAGAGGCATGCCCTGGACTCCTGCCAAACCTTCAGAATATACCTTGGTTGTGATTGATATTAAAGATTGTTTTTTTTCTATCCCCCTGCATCCAGATGACTGTAAGAAGTTTGCTTTCTCCATCCCTTCTCTTAATTTTTCCCAGCCTGATCGGAGTTTTGAATGGACGATGCTGCCACAGGGAATGGCCAATAGCCCGGCCTTTTGCCAACAATACTGGGCCACACTTTTAGGGCCTGTGCTGGGTTCAGATACCTCCGTTGCCTATGCCTACATGGATGATGTAATTCTGGGGCACCAAGACACGAGCCGCCTGGAGGGCCTTCTGGCCCAGGTTCTTGCCATATTAAAAAAGGGGGTTTTACCATAGCCCTCAATAAAATTTAAAAGGTACCTCCTTTTAAGGTGCTCGGGACCCACCTTACCTTGACTCAGGCCAGCCTCCTTAAGCCTTTGCTGGATATTCCAGCCTCTCTAACCTTAACCCAACTTCAGAGTCTTTTAGTGGAAATCAATTGGCTGTTGCTGTGGGTTTCTGTCCCTAAAGATAGTTTTGTGCCCTTATTTGCCCTACTAAATGACAGGACGCCCCAAGAAGTTATTACAATTACAGACAGCCAGAGGGCAACATTTTTGCAGTTCCAAAAAGCCCTGGATGAAGTTTCCCTAAAGAGGTGTTCTATTTTTGAGCTCATTTCCCTTTGGTTGTTTGCAGGTGTTATATTGATTTCTGCAGTTTTAACTCAAAAGGGGGAGCCATTAGAGTGGGCTCACACTCCCTTGGGGGGCACACCTCAGGTGTACTCTCAAGACCAACTTGCAGATGTTATTGTCAAGGGAAAGACCCAAGCCCAAAGGCATTATGGCCTCGATCCTCACTCCATTGTTTTTCCTTTTTGGATGGCAGACGTTGAGTGGCTCACTCGAGCCAATGCTCAGCTTGTTCTCTCTTTGGAGGGGTTACTAGGCCAAATTGACTGCCATTATGGGCCATCCAAATGGACTGTCATGTTATAGCAACTTCCCCTCAAAATGCCTTCTCTATTTTCTTCTACACCTATTCCTGGCGCCCTCCATATTTTTACTGATGGAGGTAAGGAAGGCTCTGCGTATGCAGCCTTTGAGCAACAAAAGACCCCGAGCCAACAAAGATTTCAACCTTGTCAAGGGTCAGCACAATATAAAAGAAATGCTGGCTGTAATTATGGCTCTTCAGGACATTCAAAAACCCTTTAATTTGTATTCTGATAGCCTATAAAACAAAAAAGGGGAGTTAGCCCCCATATACAGTTACCGATAGCTTTGTTTTCCATTAACATTTTAAGTTTTTCAAAAGGGGCCACTGAATCCAGATTTCAAAAGCACTGGGGACAACTAAACCCTAAGCCCCAAATGAAAGTCAGGTGGAAGGACCCCCTGACACAACAATGGAGAGGACCTGACCCCCTAGTTACCATGGGCAGGGAATTTGGATGCGTTTTCCCATAGGGGAGACAGCCCCCATTTGGATCTCTGCCAGGAACCTTAAGTTTTTACCCATTTCCTCTACACAGGAGGATGCCCAAGGATAAGCTAACCAACAAGGAAAGAAAAATGGCTGTGGTGGCCAAGGCTTGTGTTTAAAAGAGGAAAGCCAGAAAGATAACTATTAATCATCCCCAAGGGCAACCAGCCCTTGAGAAGCTCTTGTGTTCGCTAACAATTGCAGATGGCGATATTCCAGCTGATGGCTGTCCTGACCCTCCCAGTCCCCGCAATGGCTACGGAATCCACATCAACCTCAACGGGTGACCTGGGCAGTGATCAGCGCTGGCAATGCAGAAATCATTAACAGTACCACAAGAGAAGCTGTCCCTTCTACCTGGTGGCCTGACCTTCATTTTGATCACCACCCTATGTCATTATGTATGGACTGTTTAATATTTCTGTAGGAGCTAATTATTTTATAATGTTACCTGCTCTAATTGTTCTTTTACCAATTAAGCAATTGGTATAGCAATTGTATAGCTGCATTACTGAATCCATACTTACTGTTAACCACCTTTTGTTATGCTTCCTGTTTAGATCTTTTTCAACCCCATAGGCAAATAGCTGGATTAGAACAAGCCCCACCTCTGGACTCTGAAGTGGCAAAGACTGCTATCCCATCCTTGACTAATGTTAAAGGACTGCTAATGACTTTGCTTATCCTGGTAATGCTTTTGCTGATGGTTTTTTCTATGCCTTCCTTGCATTATACGTGCACTGCAAAACTCTTATGAGCTTAGCCAGCCAGTTATCAAGCTCCAAATGAATGAATTTCCCCGAGAGGAATAGCAGCCAGAGACGGGTAAGAGGGGGTGTCAGTCTGACCAACCTAAGACAGGGCCTTCAGCTTCGCTCTGAAGAAGTTCCCGATGACGGGTAAGGCAGACAAGGCAATCCACTCAATCTAAGACAGGCGGGTTCGCTTCTTTAAACAAAGACGGGGGAGATGTTGGGAGCCGTTGGGAGCTGACAGTAAAGCTCAAAGGTCATCTTGACCCCTGTGCTTGCTTAAAGACACGTACAAGGCACTGGCTTACTTAAAAGACACCAGATACCCAGGATTGCTTTGCTATGTCTGCAGTTTGTTTTAAATATTCCTTGTTTTTCCGGACTATAGTAGAACGGCCTGCGTGTGGGGGCCCATGAGGATGCACCCTGCAGCTTAGATGCATGATAGGGTGTGACCTTGACAGTGATTGGTTCCTCTTCCTCCCCTGCCATGCCACCCACTCTTTTTTGCTTAAAAAGGGCTTGCTCTGTGTTAATTAACAAGTTTTCCTGCTTGACTTGACTCCCTGCTGTGTATGACTGTCTCCAAGCCTAAGGGAGGCTGGGGAAGGGGCGAGCAGCCGCACTTACCTTTCCTCGGACCCCATCCATCTTTTGAGGGACGGACAAAGACCTGACAGTAGACTACTATAAAAACATGAATTTCTTAAACATAGTTAGACAAGAATATTGTATTGTCGTGTGTGTGTGTGTGTGCACGCGCGTGCGCGCTCATGCGTGCACACATATATGCCTATGAATGTAGACACTGGGCACTAGGGCTTGAACTCAGGGCTTAGATGCTGTCCCTTAGCCATGATGCTCAAGGCTGGTGCTGTATGTCTGGCTTTTTGGTGGTTAATTGGAGATAAGAGGTTCTCTGCCTGGACTGGCTTTGAACCTTGACCCTCAGATCTCAGCCTCTTGAGGAGCTAGGATTACATGCATGAGTGCCTGGCTGGATTGTCTTCTATTGAGCAGATAAAAATATAAACACTCAAGTCTACAAAAGTCACAGGGTCACGTAAAGTCTGCTGGCTGCCTACTATCAAGCTTCACTCCAGAAATCTATGATCAGAGGTTCAAATGCTGGTAGTTAAGAGTGCAATCTGATTTGTTATCTTTAGGCTTTTTCTGAGCCAGCCCAAACTGATATTTCAGATGCTACTGCTATGATGCAAAAACATTTCCACCTTGTAATCCGAGTAAAACTGGATTTGCTTACCTCAGAATAAGCAAGAGTGATGTGCTCGTAGATCCCCTGGTGGTGATGAATGGCATCTTCCAGATCCTGCAGCTCGGAGGGAAGGTCCACCTCACCACAGGCTTTACACCACGAGTCCACGTTGCTCATGTACTTGAAGGTTAAAAAGTAATATTGTTTCTATCATAGTATCACCGAATATATTGAAAACACAATTTGAAAAATTGATTTGAAAATTAGGGTAGGTGAGGAATGTGTAAGAAGGTAACACTGCTGAATCTTCATTTCAAATGGCAATGATATGAATTTCTGAATGTGACATACACTTAAACTCCACCATTAGGCACAGGCAGGGATAGGGTAAGGCTGAAGAAGGTGTATTTTTAATGAAAGTCTCAGTTTTTTGCTGCCCAGCATCTGGGCATGTCCCCAGAACAAGACTATCCTGCACCACTGCTTCCTGGCCAGCTTTCCCAATCCATGTCTGAATCTACATTCCCACCTGCCTTGTATTCAGCAATGGCAGATGTCAACAGAACTCATTTATGTCCCTCAACAGCAGAAGGGGCCTTACCTGTCCTTTTGCAAAACAGAAATGACTAAGTTATCTAAAACCACAAACCTTATCTGAGGACGTACAGCCAGCCCATTTTTCTAGCCTTTCAAGAGGAAATTAGCACATGAATTACAGGGAGAGAAGGGGAGGAAAAGCACTCTAAGCTGTGAACCTCAAAAACGCTTAAAAAGGCCTTGGTACCATGTCTTTCAAATTTACATGTAAACTAGAAGTCTGAGCCATACCAGCTCTGCTTCTGACTGTAGTTCCAATCTCACCTCAATTTTCTCCACTGCCAACTACCCAGGACTCATCAATAGTGATTAAATCACTGCCAAATTTCCTGGGGAGATGCTATCAGAATCCTTCAAAGTTAAGAGTCCAAGGCAAGTGTTGAAAGCCCAATTAGAAGCTAATTAAGCCAAATAGCAACACATGTTCATGAGTTTTAACCTCTTTTACTCTAATTCCTCTTCCACTTTTGTACTTAGGGATTCATTCGATGGCTATTTTAAAATGCAATACTTGAAAAGTGTACTGACAGGAAAGGAGTACTATAATTCTCTTAAAATGTAATAGAAGTTGAGCTGCAGGAATAGCTCAAGCAGTGGCACATGTGCCTAGCAAGTTCAAACACCAGAGTCGCCCAGAGTTCAAACACCAATACAGTCATTCCCTCCAAAAAAAGTAATGAGCGTAATTTCCCAGTTACTTATGGTATTTTGTAGGATCTTAAAACAGGAAACCTACCCAATAATTGTTTCAAAAATCCCTTTATTACCGACGTTGGTTAACTGTATGCAAGCTGCAGGGCCTAAAGTCAGTGTATATAACATGAAGTGTTACCAAACAGCAGGTAGTTTCTGATGACTCAAAGCACCGGGGAACATTTTTATTACTTTATTACCCTGTATCACTGAGGAATTGGAAGTAGTAATAAAATCACTTCACCCCTCTCCTCCTCCCACATAAATTCACATATGACTACTTAGTCCTAACTGTTGCTTGGGTACTGTTTTATAAATGTCAATCAAGTCAGGCTGAACAGCTTCTAAGTATTCTTAAGCTCTATTTCATGCTCTCTTCTTCCCTTACTTCATTTAATATCCTTTTTAAATATGAATTGATTGAGGTTAATCCTCATTATTAAAACATCAAGCTCATGATGACATAAACTCAAAAAAACAAGCTACCTGTAAAGAGTTTATATCTTCTCAAAAGACTCTAAAACTTCCCCTTTTCACTATCCAATCAACAAAAAGTTTCTACTTTCTGTCTTATAAATTCACCCATACCAACTGATCAGAAAAACGTACAGATCCCTACCCTCCCTTCTAATTGACAGTATAAAATAGTTCTTTCTGCAAAAAGTAATGCCACACTATTATCTTCTTTGAGTATCAGGCAGGCAATGTAATTCGGTATGCACAAATACCTAGAGGGGATCCCTGTTACAAAAAAGAGGAGAAATGCTGATGCTGGACACACGAGGACTGTTTGAAAGTAAGTATTTTTTAAAGTGTTGCTGAATAGAAAATAAAAGAAGTTTTGGTCACATACTTGGCAAAATGTAGGCAAGCAGTTAAGGGGAGAGGGACTAAGGTGCTTTAGTTTTTCAAGGGGAGACCTTGAATAATTAATTAGCAGACTGATTTTCTGTAAGCATTAACTCTACTGTTACCCACAAGATAAAAGGCGAGAGAGGCTCAGCTCTCCTGCCTTTCTCCCACAACCTAGGATCCTCAAAAGACCAGCGAATTTCATTGCCACTGCTTTTCCAACCCCATTTCTTCTACCTCTTGTCCTCCACTATGAACTTTAAAAATATTTACTGAGAAGGATTTCCCTTCTTTAGAAAAACTCTTTTGCTTCATACTTTAAAGGTTTCTGGAGCTGAGCTTCCTGCTGAGGTCTCTGTTGCCTTCTACAATACTAACAACCCCACTGAAATGCCAGGCAAGATGGCCTCTATTTCACCTAAAGTGACAACAGGGACTGGTTTTAGATCAAAGACAATTTATGTCCTCCTTAGAAGCATCAGCACAAATCATTATGAAAGCATTCTCCCCCTCAAAACTACTCAAGAAAACTATACCAATTCTTCCTTTTAAAAAAACTAACCATTTACCTCTTCCCCCTAGGTCTTCCTAGCAAACAAGGTGTTCTTTGTCTATGTTGTGAAAAGACATTTCATGTGCAGCACACTCCCAACAATAGTCTGAGTCACGACAATCTCTCCTGATGCCTCCACAGTGGATCTGTTTAAGCAGGTTTGCTTGAGTCAAGGTGTATGTAGGTGTTGGGGAGTGTTAAGTGCATGCATTACACATTCCTTAACAAGACAGTCTGAAACAGTAACTGAAGATAACATGAAGTTATCATCTATGTAATTTATTAACTGTGTGCCATTTTACAGTTAACCATGGATGGCAGAATCTCCCTCAGGCTAAAGAGGACCAAAAATGAGACCCACTCTTTTTCCAGTGCCTTTATAACCAAGCATGGCATACACCCCATTCTTGGCAGATAGGAAGTGGGGGAAAGTTTATTAAAGATGGAAAAGCCTCCTACAAATACAGTCTTCCTGAGAGAGAAAGGAAAGGACGGGAGGGGGGGGGAGAGGGGGGAGAATTACTGCCACCCTTTCCAATAAGGGATGCAGTCACTGAGTTGTTGTTGCTTGGTGCTGCTCATATATCTTGTTAGAAAGGCCAAACCAAGCTGGGAGACACATCCCAGCCAGGACACCAAATGCTATCAGCTGAACACTCTGACACAGACTCTGACTTCAAACCTCTGAGAGTTCCATTGTTCCTTGCTACCAAAACATTCTACCAGGAATAATGAAGAGCCAACAATGAGGTGGAAGGAGGAGGAGGGATGGAAAAAGAACAGCAGCTATTGCTTATTAGTACAGGTTGAGTACCTCTAGTTGGAAAATTTGAAATTCAAAGCTTTTGTTCAGTTGGAACAAAAAAAAATTAGATTTTAGAGCATTTTAGAGTTCAAATTTTCAGAATAGGAATGTTTCATTAGTGAAATGTTGTAAAAGCCCCAAATTATGATAGAGCTCTTGGTTCCAAGTATTTAAAATAAGGGCTACTCAACCTGTATTTATTACATACCATGCTCAGTACAGGGCACTTAGTGCAAATGATTCCATTTACATGGTAAAATAATCCTCTCAAGCAGATATTTTCATTTTCTCTTTATTAATGTAAAAATTAAAGAACAAAGCCAGGCATGGTAATCTCAGCACACTGGAGCCAGAGGCAAGAGAATCTCCAGGTTGGACTCTGTAAGGAGGCCCTACCTCAAACCAATGCACCACTCCAAAAAATAAAAAGCCAGAGAAGTAAAAAACAACTCTGCCTAAGGTAGAGTCAAGATGGAAGGTATTGTCAGAGCCCACAAACCTGCACAAAAACTTCCAAGTATTTGTTATACATCTCAAAATGCTGGGAGAAGCAAAGGGTCTGGCTGCCACTCTGTGGTCTGTGGTTCAGGGCACTGACCTTTTCCGCCTTCTGGTGGAAAATGGAGGACATGTCAAGCAAGGTGCTGCGCTCATCCAGGGCTGCTGCAAAGGCCTTCCACTCCTGTTCCAGTTGATTGGCAATCTGCTTTATCTGTTGAGAGGCATAGTGGCCAGATTCTACCAAGCGATTGGCCACTGACATTATTCTGTTTATATTTACATACACGTTCTGCAAAAGAAGTAGAGAAAAGCCTACTGAGGAAATGTGAAGAGAATTCTTTCTAAAAAACCCAAACAGCACTTTATAAAATGGCCTACTAAAAGTTATACTACTTTTTTAACAGTAAAATCACCTAGTACACTATATTTGCTATCAGGATTTCCATAACTCCTAAATACTGGTTCCAATTTCTATTTTTAAACATAAAATTACAAATCAGTTAGCTGAAAGGTATAGTTATAAAGTAAAAATAAATCAAATACACAAGTCTTAGCTTCCAAACCTGAATAAAGAGTCAGGTAGCAGACTACTAACAAAGAGTCACGCAGAACTGAAGGCACCTGAGACTTCAATTTTTTATTTTTATTTTTTTGTCGGTTGTGGGGTTTGAACTCTGGGACTAGGCACTGTCCCTGAGTGCTTCAGCTTGAGGTGAGTGTTCTACCACTTGAGCCACAGCGCCACTTCCAGTTTTCTGGTGTTTAATTGCAGATAAGAGTCTCACATACTTTCCTGCCCAGGCTGGCTTTGAACCGCGATCCTCAGGTCTTGGCCTCCTGAGTAGCTAGGATTACAGGCATGAGCCAGCGCCCAGCTTCAATTTTTAGCTTGAACCCAGAAACTGAAAAATATATACCTAAGGCTATTTGTGTGAAAATAAGCTCTTCAGACTGCCCAAGACATCTTTTTGGTGCCATGGGAAAGCTCCAAATCTACTTTCTCTCAGGATTATGAGCTGAAGTACAACCATAACAATGACATGTTTAAATTTTAAGTATGGCTTTTCTACTGTTGGTATATTTTTTTT